TTTTTTTTTTAAATACAACAAAGCATCTGCCATTTCAACATTTTTTACATGTACAATTCAGTGACGGAACTGGACAGAATCCAATGAGAATGAGCACACATCCTACCAGAACCTTTGGGACACAGCCAAAGCAGTGCTCAGAGGTCAGTTTATAGCAATAAATGCACACATCCAAAAAAAGGGGCCAAAATAAAAACCCTACAAGTTGAACAAATAGCAGCAAAAGAAGCCTACAGGCACCAGGAGAAAGGAAATAACAAAAATTAGTGCAGAAATAAATGAAATACATAATAGAAAAACAATTGAAAGAGTTAACAACACCAAAAGCTGGTTCTTTGAAAACGTCAAAAAAATCGATAAACCACTGGCCAAACTGACAGAAGAAACAGAAGAGGAAGCAAATAACCCGAATAAGAAACAAGATGGGTGATATCACAACAGGCTCAACTGAAATTAAAAGAATCCTAACAATACTATGAAAAGTTGTACTCCAGTATATCTGAAAACCTAGGAAATGGACAAATTCCTAGAAATATGCTACCTACCTAAACTAAAACAGGTAGAACAACTAAATAAACCTATAACAAAAGAAGAGACTGAAGAGGTAATTAAACTCCCAACAAAAAAAGCTCTGGCCCTGATGGCTTCAGTGGAGAATTCTACCAAACTTTCAGAGAAGAGTTAACATCAGTACTACTAAAGGTATCTCAGAGCACAGAAAAGGATGGAATACTCCCAAACTCATTCTATGAAGCCAGTATAACTGATACCAAAACCAAGTAAAAACACCACAAAAAAAAAATTACAGACCAACATCCCTCATGAACACAGACGCAAAAAATCTTCAACAAAATTCTAGCCAATAGAATTCAACAACATAGCAAAATAATTCACCATGCTCAAGTTGGATTTATACCAGGTATGCAGGGATGGTTCAACATTAGAAAAACAATGTAATCCATCGCTTAAATAAAACAAAACACAAGAACCACATGATCTTATCAATTGATGCAGAAAAGGCATTTGACAAAGTCTAACACCCATTCATGATAAAAACTCTCAGTGAAATAGGAATAGAAGGGAAATTTCTCAACATAATAAAGGGCATTTATACAAAGCCAACAGCCAACATGATCATCAATGGAGAGAGTCTGAAGGCATTCCCCTTGAGAACATAAACCAGACAAGGATGTCTTTTATCACCGCTCTTATTCAACATTGTGCTGGAGGTCCTAGCCAGAGCAATAAGGCAATAAAAAGAAAGAGCATCCAAATTGGTAAGGAAGAAGTAAAAGTATCCCTATTTGCAGCTGATAAGATCTTACACACACAAAATTCCAAAGAATCCACAAGTAAAGTACTGGAACTAATAGAAGATTTCAGCAAACTATCAGGATACAAGATAAACATACAAAAATCAGTTGGATTCCTCTACACCAACAAAGAGAACTTCAAAGAGGAAATCACTAAATACCATTTACAATAGCCCCCAAGAAGATAAAATACTTAAGAATAAATTTAACCAGAGATGTAAAAGATTTGTACAAAGAAAACTACAAGACACTATTGCAAGAAACCAAAAGAGACCTACATAAGTGGAAAAACACACCATGCTCATGGATGGGAAGACTCAACATTGTGAAAATGTCAATTCTACCCAAAGCGATCTACAGATACAATGCAATCCTGATCCAAATTCCACTAACATTTTTTAACAAGATGAAGAAACAAATCACCAACTTCACATGGAAAGGGAAGAGGCCACGGGTAAGTAAAGCATTACTCAAGAAGAAGAACAAAGTGGGAGGCCTCACACTACCTGATTTTAGAACCTGTTATACCACCAAGGTAGTCAAAACAGCCTAGTACTGGTACAACAACAGATATGAAGACCAGTGGAACAGAATTTAGAATCCAGACATAAATTCATCCACCTGTGACCAGCTGATATTTGACAAAGGCCGGAAGTCCGTTTACTGGGGAAAAGACAGTCTCTTTAACGGTGCTGGCGTAACTGGCTATCCATCTGCAAAAAACTGAAACAAGACCCATACCTCACACCATATACAAAAACTAACTCAAAATGGATCAAAGACCTAAATATAAAATCTAAAACGATCATGGAAGAAAAAATAGGGACAACGCTAGGAGCCCTAACACATGGCATAAACAGAATATAAAACTTAACAATGAATGCACAAACAACCACAACAGAAACTAGATAACTGGGAGCTCCTAAAAATCACTTATGCTCATCAAAATACTTCACCAAAGAGTCAAAAGACAACCTACAGACTGGGAAAAAAATTTTGGCTACAACAAATCCGATCATGGTCTAATCTCTAAAATCGACGAGATACTGCAACACCTCAACAACAAAAAGACAACCCAGTTAAAAAATGGGCAAAGGATATGAACAGGCACTTCACCAAAGAAGACATTCAGGTGGCTAACAGATACATGAAGGAATGCTCGCGATCATTAGCCATCAAAGACATGCAAATCAAAACTACAATGAGATACCATCTCACCCCAACAAGGCTAGCATTAATCCAAAAAACACAATAAATGTTGTGGAGAGACTGGATCACTTTTGCACTCCTAGTGGGAATGTAAAATGGTACAACCACTTTGAAAATCGATTTCGCGCTTCCTTAAAAAGTTAGAAACAGAAGTACCATACAATCCAGCAATTCCACTCCTTGGAATATATCCTAGAGAAATAAGAGCTGTCACACAAATAGATATATGCACACCCATGTTCATTGATTGCAGCACTGTTTACAATAGCAAAAAGATGGAAACAACCTAGGTGCCTATCAACAGACAAATGAATAAATTATGGTATATACACGCAATGGAATACTATGCAACAATAAAGAATGATGAATCCACGAAACATCTCACAACATGGATGAATCTGAAGACATACTGAGTGAAATTAGTCACAAAAGGACAAATACTGTATGAGACCACTATTATTAAGAACTCAAGAAAAGGTTTAAACACAGAAGAAAACATTCTTTAATGGTTTTGAGGGTGAAGAGGGAGGAGTGGAGAATTCACTAACTAAATAGTAGACAAGATTATCTTAGGTGAAAGGAAGGACAACACACTACAGGGAAAGTCAGCACAACTGGACTAAACCAAAAGCTAAGAAGCTTCCTGAACAAAACTAAACACTTTGAGGGATACAGTAGCAGGGGCTGGGGACCATGGTTTTGGGGGAATCTAGGTCAACTGGCATAACAGTTTAGTTCTGCATCCTACTTTGGTGAGTGGCATCTAGGGTCTTAAAAGCTTACGAGCAGCCATCTAAGATGCATCAATTGGTCTCAACGCACCTGGAGCAAAGGAGAATGAAGAACACCAAAGACACAGGGAAAATATTAGCCCAAGAGACAGAAAGGGCCACATAAACCAGAGACTGCATTAGCCTAAGACCAGAAGAACTAGATGTCACCTGGCTACCACCATTGATCGCCCTGACAGGGAACTCAACAGAGAGTCCCTGACAAAGCAGGAGAAAAGTGGGGTGCAAAACTCAAATTGTAGTAAAAAGACCAGACTTAACGGTCTGAGTCTGGAGGAACCCCAGAAGACCTGGCCCTTGGACTCTGTTAACCCACAACTAAAATCATTCCCAAAGCCAACTCTTCAGACAAACATTAGACTGGACTATAAAACATAAAATAATACTCGTGAAGAATGTGCTTCTTAGTTCAAGTAGATACACGAGACTAAATGGGCAGCTCCTGTCCAGAGGTGGGATAAGAAGGCAGTAAAGGGATAAGAACTGGTTGAATGGATGTGAGAAACCTGGGGTGGAAAGGGGGGAGTGTGCTGTCATATTATAGGGATTGCAACTAGGGTCATATAACAATGAAAAAAAAAAACCGTTTTGGCTACTTTGGGTTCCTTGAGTGGATTTTAGGATCATTTCTGTAGAAAAGGCAGCTGGAGTTTTGATAGGGATTTCACTAATCTGTGGATCAATTTGGGGAGTATTATTAAGTCTTCCACGCCGTGAATATGGATGTCTTTCCATTTATTTAGGTCTTCTTTAATTTCTTTCAACAGTGTTTTGTAGCTTTCAATGTACAAGAGTTGCATTTCTTTGGTTAAATTTATTCCTAAGTATTTTACTCTCTTTGATGCTATTGT